ACAGAGGTCGTTTTCATCTTAGACACGCCCGACTTTTTTGTCATCGCCGAGGATGCCTTCGCGTTGATAGATTTGCCCATGGTGCGCCGGTGTTGAATGGTTGGCTTGGTGATAAATTCGAAGTTTTTCTACGTAAATTCAGTACTAGCGCTACGCGAGGCAGACTGGTTGGTTCTGCCGGAACGCGTGCTGTTTCGTTTCTGAAATAATTTTTTCTATAGAGATTTTTTGTACCTGCTTGTGGAGATCATTGTTGATCAACTTCTGGCAAGAATAGAAGTAGAATAAGATCTAATAGGAAGTGGTGAGACTGTTCATCCGCAGGTAGAAGCCCAGCATCACTTGCACCTGTTCCTATTGCAGGTAATCCATAGCCAACGTAGATTCGAGCTCAGATTTTCTCCAGAGGTAGCTAGAGCGTTGAGGCTCTCATTACAGCTACGGAGTTGATTATCTGACAGTCAATCAACAAAGGTAACTTTTGAACCTTGCAAAGTAGTAGGAACTACAGAGCAAGATGCCTGGTGGAAGACACCAAGGGAGCAGCGGTCGAGGAGGCCGTGGCGGAAGGTCTATCCAGCAGACCAGTCAAGGGTCTCAAGGAAAGAAGACCGAACAAAAGAAACAGTACCATCCTCACAATCCTGAATTTACTCATGGTCAGGTGACGGTGTACTTGCTTGAGGCAATTGCACTCAAGAGTCTGGACTACGCTCAAGATGCAATCGCGAGTGTACGAAATATGGCCCATGTGGACTTTGATGCTCTAAGAGACAGTCAAACGGTCTACAAGCCAGGAAAGAACAATACTGAGTTCCACAAGAACACGAGGCAAGCTCAAATTGATAGGAACTGGGAAAATCTTAATAACAAGATTGACAAAAGAGAAGTGATCTACAACAGAAATAAATATACTGTTGCTGCAATCATCACCAAGCATTTCATCACATCGGCGATGAGAGATAAATTGAGCAATGAAACTGATTGGTTAGACCTCCAAGAAGATCACGTGAAACTGTTGAAGCGTATGAAGACGTTCATGACTGTCACAGATGAGACTGAGTGGCAACACTTTGGACTCATGGAATCTCTCAAGAGATTCACAAATTGCATTCAGAAGAAAAATGAGTCTGTGAATGATTACAGAAGACAGTTTGAGGCCCAAGCTGATCAAGTATTCGAAATCCTTGGGACTGATGTGTTGCATGTCTATGCGACTAAGACAATGGGGTACCTGGACTTGTACGATCCGGAGGACGATCCGGACGATACCAAGACGCTCCAAGACTCGTTCAAGAAAGATGTTCTAGAAGCATTTAAAGCAAGTGCATTCTTTTACAACTGTGACAGGTCTCGCTTCCAAAGCATGTTGGACAAAGCGAATCAGACCTACGCCATGGGATTCAAGGACTACGATCAGAGAAATGAATATCCGACTACAATTGATCAGGTTGCAAAAGCGCTGATCAAACATAAACCGGACAACCGCAAGAAAGGTCCAACGACACCGAGACCTACTCCAAGAACGGACACTGCAAGAAGCACTAACCCTGATGGAGTGAGCAACGCGCAAGCGACTGCTCAAACGACCTCTTCGCGAGCAGCCTTTAGTTGCTGGTGCTGCGGCAATACTGGACATGGAGTCACTCGTTGTCCCGAACGCTCCACACGGCCGCCCACAAGCGGAATGGAACGACCCAGGACGATACAGTGACCCATCTGCTACTACTACTACTACTACTACTACTACTACTACTACTACTACTACTACTACTACTACTACTACTACTACTACTACTACTACTACTACTACTTCGAGACGAGCGGGGAGAGCTAATCTCCAAGTCGCTGCGGCTGCATCTGCGGCGCAGTTGGATGCCGCGTCGAGTGTTACAGGACCGCAATCAACTGGTCAACAACATCGAAGCCATATGCAACGAGGTGTTGTTGAAAGGAGTGGTGCTGGTGCCACGGATATACCCGGCTCTTATGCGGTACGAGGCAGATCTGTTGCTAATGAACGATCTAATGGTAGAATTACAGGATGGAACCTTGCACAGGTACGTGTAAGACCGATTCTGAAGAAGAAAGCAATCTCCACTGAAGACAGAGGAGAGATGCTAATGAAGAAATGGCAAGCCCAACTAGAAGCTGCCAGTACTTTCAAGGACGATGACAGCATGGTCAGCGATGGAAGCGTGAACATGCAGATCTACAAGTCGACCTCGAAGATGGATTCATTGAAACACTGTTCTCAATGGACCAAAGATAACAAGAAACCTTTCAAGACCAATGGAAGTCCATAGTCGACGTAGATTCGAGGTCAGATTTACTCCAGAGGTAGCTAGAGCGTTGAGGCTCTCATTACAGCTACGGAGTTGATTATCTGACATTTGCTAAGTGGTTGAACATGAGATATGGTTCGATCAAAGCATGCACTGTTGGGATATGACGAAATATGAGTTTTTACGTTCCAAAAGAAACTATTCAAGTACAAGGTTTTCGACACGTGCGATCGGACTTTGATCGTGCGCGATGTCGGGATTCGACGCAAGTATGCCGGACG